GGGGTTTGAAGTTGAGATTGCCTTGAGCTAGACTGACACCATGACACTCTAGCTAAAAAAAAAAAAAGAATGTTCTTCCATAGGGTCCTGGTGAGAGTAGAGGGTACCTTCTTTATCCATTCATACTTGGCAATGTAGTTCTCCCCAATTCCAACTAACCTCCCTCTAGCCCCTGTGTGTCACCCTGGGAATCTGGGTCTCCACTTCCCCTTGACACTCCCTACCCAAGAGACATAAAGTCTAAAGCGTGATTACGGGCCCCCTTCCCATCCCCTGGACTCCTGCTTGGCCCGGGATTCCTAGCCTGGTCCCTGGAAGCCCCTTAGGAACCTGCCTGCTACAAACCCAGACAGTGATTTTTTTTTCCCTTCTGGCAGGGGATGGGGTCAGGTGGGTGGTTGGTTGATGGACACAGCCTTGAGCCAATGGCAGCAAGAGCCTGTGTGGTGGGGGTGGGCCACTGAGTGAGGGATGCTGCCTGGAGTCCATGGAGGCAGGACTGGGAGGAGGAGGGTGGTGAGTCCAGGTGCCTGGTCCCCAGACCCCGGGCTTTGCAGCTTAGAGCTGTGGAATGGGTCTCCCAGCTGTCTTTTGCAAGACATGAATGTAACTTGGAGAAATATGTCATTAACTCAGAGGTTGTGAAGTGCATACTTGTTGGTCCCCCGCCCTGGGGGGCTTGGGAGTGGGCAGGTGGTATCCTGAGAGCCAGAGCTGTGCCCCAGAAAGGAACTAGGGGTTGGGGATCCTGCCTCCACCCAGGCCCCCATAGGAGAAAGGGGGTGAGGGGAGTGGGTGGCACAGAGCTTTGGTTCAGGAGACCGTGATCTAATCTGCACCTCTGTTTGGACAGAACCTCCTGGGGCTGCAGAACATTCCCAGGCAGTTTTTCCTGCAGGTGTATCACACCTTCCGCAGCATCGGTGAGACCAGGTACCGCCAGCTTTCGTTTCTCCTCCGAGTAAGGAAGCTCTTCCTTCTAGACCCCTGCCCAAGTTCCCAGCTGTTCCCACCCCAGGTAGCATTTTATTCCTTCTGGGCCCTATTGCTCCCCAGGTTCCCCAGAGCAGCAGCAGCAGTGCCTGGGAGCTGGTTGGAAATGCAAACTCTCAGGCCAGCCCCCGACTGGCTGGGTCAGAGTCAGTTTTTTAACAAAAAACCCATGGCTGGAGCCTGGGGACCCTGAGCCCAGAAGCACAGCTATCTCCACAGAGCTTTCCTGGGCGGCAGGAAGGAGAGGAGAAAAAGCAGGAACAGTGACACAGACAGAGCACAGGAGCCAGAGGAGTGGGGACAGGTGGGGCAGAGAAGAGAGAGGAGGAGATGGTCTGGGGGGCACTATAGAGGTGGCTGCCTGGTGCTGAGGCCTGGAGGGAGTCACGGACCATCATCTCCTTCCCTCTGATCAGCTGCTGAGGTTTTTGGTGGCAGAACTCAGCCTCCTGGGGCCAGTGGAAGTGGAGCCTGACCAGTCAGAGCAACACTGACTGTCAGAGGTGAAAGGGGCCTTAGTGATGACACAGCCCGGAGCCTTCTAGGACAGACAACTGCAGTAGGCCAGCTCCTCGGGCTGGTCCCTGTTCCCTGCAGTCAGTCACTCACTAGATCCTAGCCCACAGACATGAGTCCCAGAAGGATAAGGGACTGCAAAAACGAAAGGTTGGCTCTGCTGCCATCATGACCAGGCCCCTCCACTCCCAGTCCTGCACAGGCCCATGTGCTTGCTGAATTCTGGGTGAAGTTTTCAGGTGGAACAGTAGGTTGCTTAGGAAAAAGCAGAAAAGACAATTGAGAGAGAAAGCTTTCCAGCAGAAGCCACAGGGGAGGCTGGAAGACCTTGTCAGTGTGAGCATGGGCAGGGCCGAGCTGTGACAGGCCGTCTGTCTCTCTGCAGGGTGGGCGACGCTGTGCTGGGGCTGGTCTGCATGGTGCTGCTGCTGGTGCTGAAGCTGATGCGGGACCATGTGCTTCCCCTCCACCCGGAGATGCCCCCTGGCGTGCGGCTCAGCCATGGGCTGGTTTGGGTTGCGACGACAGGTGAGGGGCCCCGCAGACATCGTGGGCAACCTGGGCTGCACCCTCCCTGTGGGCATCCAGGGAGCCCTGAGTCCCACCCTTAGAGCCCTGAGTCTCGCATCAGTGGTTTGGGCATGACTTGTACATCGGCACATTTAAAATGTGGCAGGCAGTTCTGATCCACAGCTAGAGCCCAGGATGCTGGTCTGCAGCACCATTTCTCAGGCAGAGGTGACGGTTGGCAGTTGTGGGAGACATTTTTGGTTGATACTCCCGGGAGAGGCTTTCACAGGCAGCTGGTGGGGAGAGCCTGAAGGTGCTCTACACCCTGGGGTGCACAGCCGCTCACGACAAGGAGTGGCTCCAAATGTCAGCAGTGCTGAGGCTGAGAAACCTGGTCTCCTCTCAGGTCCTTGGGAGAGAAATAAAATTCCACTGAGACCATCTGGGTCTGATCTAATTGTACTTTCCGGGGAAAGTAGAGCTTGTACTCAGGCACAGAGGCTGCCGGCTGAGTCACAGATCACCAGAGGGTCCTGAGAAAGCTGTGGTAAAGACTGTAAGGTGAGAGGTCAGCACGGCCACTAGTAAGTTAAATGGCCATCCCTGAGGAGGGGCACCCCCCATCCATCCAGGCCAGGCTCAGGACTGGTCAGTGACACCCAGAGAGGACAGTGCACACAGGAGAGTGGGGAAGCACTGGGGTCCGCTGAGGCCCTCTCAGCAGAGGGGAAGCACAGTCATCCAGCTGGACCTCACTGCTATCATAGGAGAGGCAGGCAGCTTGTGTTAGGCCTGGGGTCACTCCAGCTGCCCAGGGTGGTCTCCAGGCCTCGTGGTCACTCGCTGCTTCTGTCCTGCAGACTGGAGGCCGTGGGAAATGCTGAGAGCCTGGTGGGGTGGAGGGAACTCTGGGCTTACAGTGGGACTGTCTGGCTTTGAATCCCAGCTCAGCCTGGCATTTGGTGTTTTTTGTTTTTGTTTTTTTCAGCAAGAGGACAGTTTATTGGAAAGATTGATGGATAAAGAAAAGAGGGGGAATAGAACCTCTGGCAGCAGAGGGGGAATCCAGGTGGGAAGCCCCTGAGGCGTTTGGTCTTAACCAGAGTTCCCTGCTGCAGTCCCTGTCCCTGTAAAGTGGAAGATGTAAAGTTGCCCGAGAGTGGCTTGGGACTGGCAGCCTGGGCACCCTCTGCGGGCCTGGTGCAAATGCAGAATCTCAGGCTCCACTCTGACCTCCAGGCCAGAATCTGCATTTTACGTGGTCCTCAGGTGGACTGTGGCATGTGAAAGTCTGGGACGTGCTGCCCTGAGATCCTGTCAGATCCTGTCAGACGGGAGAGGCTCAGGACAGACCCCAAAGTTCGTCATCCTCATGTGTCACAGAGACAGGAGGCCTCACACCACCCAGGGTCATCACCCAGGGTCTCGTGGGAAAGACACCCTGGTGGGCAGGAGTCAGAGGAGCAGGGGGAAGAAGATTTAGGTCACAGCCATTATTGGGGTCCTTTGCTTGGGAACAGCAGCATCTTTCTAGCCAGAAAAGCTTAAGATTTCAAAACATCACCAGATGCTGTGGCTCATGACTGTAAACCTAGCACTATGTGAGGCCGAGCTCAGGAGTTCAAGACCAGTCTGAGCAAGAGTAAGAACCCGTCTCTAAAAATAGCGGGGTGTTGTGGCAGGTGCCTGTAGTCCCAGCTACTCAGGAGGCTTAGGCAAGAGGATTACTCATACCCAAGAGTTTGAGTTGCTGTGAGCTATGATGCCATGGCACTCTACTGAGGGTGACCAAGTAAGACTCTGTCTCAAAAAACACAAAACAACCCAGAGCTTCTCAAGGTCACACAGTCTGGAGGAGGGTGAAGGAGGTGTCTCCCAAGTCATCTGCTTTTCCCCTCAGTGGTCTCTTGTGTCCATCACACCTCATGTCTGGCACCTTAAAATCTGTTGTTTTATCATCTTGTCCGTTTTTAGTAATTTTATGTGGGGGAGGGGGTTGGGGTGTTAATCTGGGTTAGTCCCCTGTCTGGCCTCAAAGTGGAAGCACCAGGGCATCTGATTCAGTGTCTCTGCTGCTGTGCAGTTGTCCACACAGTCACCTGGAGGGCGTGTAGGAGGAGGCCTGCCCACCGGCCCACGTCTTGTCCCTCTGTCTTGCATGCTCCACAGAGCCGCCTGCCACACAGTCCCTTATACTGTGCTGTTTCCTGGGTGAGGGGTTGTGGCCGGAGTGGGGTGTGTCTGTCCCAGAGAGCAGGGTTTCACCACAGCCTCTCTTCTTCTGTCCCAGCTCGCAACGCCCTGGTGGTCTTCTTCGCGGCTCTGGTCGCGTACTCCTTCGAGGTGACTGGATACCAGCCTTTTATGTTAACTGAGGAGACAGCGGAAGGGCTCCCTCCAGTCTGGACCCCTCCCTTCTCAATGACCACCGCCAACAG